AGTTCGTCTTTGGATTGCTAAACAACATACCTAACAGAAGACATTAAAAAAAGGACAATTAAATATTATGCTAACTTCGCGGGATTAGAGTACATAGGCAATGTATAAATATTTAGTTGATGGAAACTGTGTTCATCAATTCCCCATAGTTTCATTGTAAAACGCAGCATGTGTATTGTGCTTAAGCGTGTGTTCCGACTCTGTGATTATTTAAGTGTGTTATATTGTAAGCATGTTTGAAAACAAAATGGAACCGTGAAGATCCGGGATAGAGTAGGTCTTCATGATCAGCAGCCCATGCTTACCGTAAAAGGCGACTATGCTTGTCGTAAAAGGCGACTGACGGGATCGAGTGGTCAGGCTCGCTGACTTGGTTGATGCATGGCATTGATCCCAATTGCGGATCGATGCTCATGATGTCAATCACTGAATTGTCTGGTCCAGACTCGATTACTTACAGACCGCCGTCATATAGCTGGAATATTGCTGAGTGCGGCGTTAAACAACAAATCAAACCAAATGTAAGTACGTTTGAGCGTTTGAAGAAAGGGTATGACTGTGTGGCTTTGGACTATGCCAGAAAGTTATCTCACGCATCAACTCCAGATTCTGCAGACATGAGATCATGTTTTCAAGTAGACCAATACATAATGTTTGAAGGCCGGAAAAGCTTTATCATGCTACATCACCGCAGGCAGTCAAATCTGTCATGTCTACGCCCACACTAATACACTGTCGCCAGTGATGAAGATCATTATCATTGGAACTCGGTTCACGAAATCTGATGTTAATATTGTGATGCAATCTTTACAATTTTGGAAGCAAGATGTGAATTCATGAATTTCATTCCAGTATAACGCATGAACAAATTCAAAAGGACAAATTCAAAAGGACAGTGCTAAACACGTACAAAGTCAACGCCAGAGTGTCGATTATCCATAGGGCGAATAGCTCTAATGCAAACTAATGGAGAAAATTACATGAATGGCTAACTAAATTACAGTGATGGCATCGGGTGTTCGTGACAAGGGTAAGCATGTCTAGAAATACCGATACGAAAGCCACTTACAATTTGCATAACGACGAAAAGGTTTGTTTGTTGCCTGATGCTGCACAACGGTACTCCTAACAGGCGACGTTGTTCTGTTAAACAAACCAGACAAGCATGAGTTGCTTAAGACCTATTCTACCCCGGGTGCTCACGGGTCTCGTGGTAACGTGAGTGTCAATCAATGAGGATAATGGCTATGCTGCTGTTGTTGATTTTAATGATGACGATGCCGATGGCGACTACCCACTTAATGCAACCCAACATTTCTAAATGCGTCTCATTTTCATCTTTTGTTTTTCCCATATTCAGACCAAAGGTCTCCAGAATGCCATTTATCATCCCAAACTGGCTCACACAGGAGATATCGCTTGGATTAGATCGAGCGATATCTACACTGTAGATATGACTGCAATGAAATTACATCACAATGCTTTGCAGACCATTGTGACGTCACTGGTTAGCTTCATATTGGGTGCAGGCGATGGGGTAGCCGAGTGGTTAGAGCGTTCGCTCGTCACGCCGAACACCCGAGTTCGATTCCCCACATGGGTGCAGTATGTGAAGCCCGTTTCTGGTGTTCCCCATCTTCCCGCGGCAAAGGTGTTAAATAACTTTATGATTTTGTTTGTTGTTTAACGCCGCACTAATTATTTCAGCTATATGACGGCGGTCTGTAAATAATCGAGTCTGGACCAGACAATCCAGTGATTGATATCATGAACATCGATCCACGCAATTGGGATCGATGACATGTATCAACCAAGTCAGCAAGCCTGACCACCCAATCCCGTTAGTCGCCTTTTACGACAAGCATAGTCGCCTTTTACGGCAAGTATTGGTTGCTGAAGACCTATTCTACCCCGGAATCTTCTTATAAAGTTAAGTTAACAACTTTGTCGCTGGAAGATGAGTGTGCTCAGTCGTGATAGGGCTTGGATATTGCCATTTTCACTCTTTGAATCATTTAAGGTGAACAACAACACAGAGTTCTCTAGAAGAGGCATAAAACCATGGCCCATGAAGATCCGGGGTAGAACAGGTCTTCAGCAACCCATGCTTGCCGTAAGAGGCGACTTTGCTTGTCCTGAGAGGCGACAAACGGGATCGGGTGGTCAGGCTCGCTGACTTGGTTGATGCATGTCATCGTATCCCAACTGCGTGAATCGATGCACATGATGTCAATCACTGGATTGTCTGGTCCAGACTCGGTTATTTACAGACCGCCATCATATAGCTGGAATATTGCTGAGTGCGGCTTTAAACCACACACAAACAAACAAACGAACACTCACTCATATTGGGTGCACAACACAGTTCTCACACTAAAACTCAGAATTTACACCAGCTACATGATTATACAGTCGGGCAATCTAACACCGTGTTTGCTGTTAACATGAAACAAGAAATTGATTTTTTTGTAATTATTTCAGTCTAATAAACATGCCAATAATGCGCTGTCGCTAATGCACCCAAATCGACTTTGCAGCCATTACTGTTGATAAAACACCTGAACACACCGTGTGTCGAGCAGTGTATTACATATTTACTTTAACAGCCGGATAAATATAAAGTTTTCCAATCAGAAAACTTTAATCTTAAAATGATTTTACCTCAGATCTGTTACGCATGGCATGCTGTGAACGATGGAATTTGTCCCCATGTCAATATAACACACATTTAGTTTCTTCAAGAGTAATGGAACATGACAATGGCCAATATTAGCTGCAGAATTAGTTGGAACACATTATCTGGATCCTTTATTCTGTGCGAACAGAAGACAGAACATATCCGCCGAGGGATTACTTAATGCCAATGTACAAATATTTGACGTGCATTATCCGACTCGGCAGCCTACGGGTACCTTCACAAAAGATACTGTGAATCAAATGGGAATGTATACTGCCATGTGTTGGGAGTTTAAGTCCGGAAATCGTAATGATTTTTTACAGCGTAGGAAGAAAAACGAATAATAAGTTAAAATACAGGACCCGTGAAGATCCGGGGTAGAATAGGTCTTCAGCAACCAATGCTTGCCGTAAAAGGCGACTATGCTTGTCGTAAAAGGCGACTAACGTGATCTGTTGGTCAGGCTCGATGACTTGGTTAATACATGTCATCGGTCCAAATTGCGTGGCTCGATGCTCATGATGTCAATCTCTGGATTGTCTGGTCCAGACTCGATTATTTACAGACCGCCGTCATATAGCTGGAATATTTCTCAGTGCGGCGTTAAACAACAAACCAACCAACGAACCTAAAATACAGGATAGTAAGCAGGTGACATGACACATTGTATCACACGAATGTTCAGCTTGGCATCGAATTAGTCAGTTTCTGTTTTTCTCCGAACCCTACATGTACATGGGTTTAATTGTCGTGTATGCTTATGGCATCATCAGTGGGGCAACCCCAGGATGAGGCCGAATACGTTTAAGTGTAAAATGTTCAACAAATAGAAATATTGTTATGAGTGAGTGAGTTTAACAATATTCCAATCATGCAACGACATGGAGACAGCAATGACTTGAATTGGGCCTTCGATGTGACGTGACATGCTTTAACGACTAGTCCAGCCCACCGCCCGAAAGATTGGCATGCAGTTGACAGGACAAGATGATGTGACTGATAATTGGCAATTTTACTTGGATTACGAAAAGAATATTGGCCCCCAGTAAGATCTGCTTGTCGTGAAAGGCGACTAAATGGATCTGGGGATCGGAGACCTAGTTCTTGCATGTCATCGTATCCCATGATGCTCCTAGTGTCAATAACTGGATTGTCTGGTCCAGACTCGATTATGTTCAGACTGCCGTCATACATATGCACTATTGTGAGTGCGACCTTAACAAAACAAACGAACACAACAAAACTTGTTAAAGCCTCCTGGTATAGGGTCTCATGCTCGAGCTGTAGTGGCTTATATGAGCAAAATGGACTGATTTTGTTAATTTGTGAACGTTACATGTATGTTAATTTACCTCAGCTAAAAGAATCAGTTTGGGTAAAACACAGGCACATGTTAGCAACCTTCTCTAAACCCATCAAATCTGTCATATTAATTCGAATAACGTTCACTGGATCATTGAATTAGGATAACACAGGTAACATTTTCTCATACTGAAAGAGAGTTTGACAAGTCGGAGAGTATTTTATGGTTCTTGAAAAAAAACAGAATTTCGATTACATTTTGTGCACACATAGGCGATCGCCCACAATATTAAACAGACTATCCATCACAATATCGAAACGTTCTTTTCGAGGTCTTAACGACATTTTACATCAAATGTCGTAGAAGGACATTCTTATCCAATGTGACTATTTCGTTTTCGTAATCATTTATTTGCTTACCCGTGAAGATCAGGGTCTAGTCTTCAGCAACCCATGCTTGTCGTAAGAGGCTTACTAACGAGATCGGGTGGTCAGGCTCGCTGACGAAGATTCATACAGTTTGCACATCGGTTTTTCGGTTCATACCTCAATGAACCGAAACAAATACACAGTCAATCCTTAAGTGCTTATCAGTCACTATGACAATTAAGTTTTGGCGAAACGATGAGCGTATACTGTGCCACCAGTGGCACCAGTCAGAAACACATGCGAAGGCAAGTCAATTGTTAAAATAAAATCACGGGAACAGGTAAAGATAGAGAACTGCATCGGACGCCAAATTTGTCACTGATGCATCAAATCTGGAAATGTCCTCCACATTTGCACCATCCCAATTTTTGAAAGCTTTACTAAGGACGTTATGTTTGTCACCTTGATCAAACATCGTCCATTATAAAGGCATTCGTAAGAAGAAAACTACATGCTTTGTAAGTTAAACATGCCAAACAGAAGCATGCTGTGCTGCAACAACAAACGCCTACGGTGAAAGTATCAGCATGGCGTGGATGATCACTGGGTGAGACTCTGAGACACCTCACTAAGTAGTTTAACGTGTACAAACCTGCGTGATGTTCCATAAAAACGACGCCTGCGCTGTTGCTTCGCTGACGGAGGAACAACCGTCTCCAAGGATGGCGATTTTCGTCGGGGGATCATACAGAAGCCTGTACATCTCATTGATTCCCAATCCTGGGTTGCACTGGAAATGATGAAGACGGAGACATGATGTTTGACAACCAAGCACAAAAATAAATTTATTTTTTTCTGTGTGACAGAGTTGGTTTATTTTTATAGTGCCGGATACAACTAATACATCAGATGACGGGTTACATTATAACTGTGGGAGCACTAATCATCTCGTACAGCTAAAACATAGTTCTGTCTGCCATTTTCAACATTTTCAATAATTGTTTTCAGTGGCGCAGTTTGGAGTCGACAACATGTGGATAATACATAAAATTATGGATAACGTTGTTATCAAGATAATGCTTCTTCTCATTTGCATCTGCGATGTCGTCCCAAGGGAGCCACATTCTCGACATAAGGCATAGCCGCTTTTAAACTTCAACTGAAATTATTGGGAGCGCCGGTTAGGCTGTAAACCACGAAAATCTACCTATTAGTAGCACAAATGTCCATATAAAATCAGCTAATGTTTGCAATAATAGACAACATTGTTTCCCCGGATTATTAATTATTCTTCTGACCGTGGGATTAACAGGATAATCTTTATTTGTATGTTAATGTTTCTTCAGTTAGGAAAGACCTAACGAGATGATGTTGCTATTTAATTCAATTGTTAAAGGCCTACTTCCCTTACAAATAGTGGACTTGTCCTAAAGATGGCACAATATCGACTTGAAGCCGTTGAAACGCTACAGTACTTGGACTGCTCTTTTGAAAATATTTATAGTTCAAAGGCATATTTTTATGCTCAGTTTATAGTTCATTTATTTCAGGGATTTCAGACAGTAAATGCAATATTCAAATAACATTCATGAGTAGATATTTGCAAAGAAATTCTAGAAATTTAAATCTTCTGCCTCCGGGGTAAAATAGGTCTTCAGCAACCCATGCTCTCCGTAAAGAAGACTATGCTTGTCATAGGAGGCCACTAACGGGATCGGGTGGTCAGGCTCGCTGACTTGGTTGATGCATGTCATTGATCCCAATTGCGTGGATCGATGCTCATGATATCAATCACTGGAATGTCTGGTCCAGGCTCGTTTATTTACAGACCGCCGTCATATAGCTGGAATATTGCTGAGTGCGGCGTTAAACAACAAACCAACCAAACCAATCAAATCTTCTGACGTTTAACGAGTCCATCTGTGAACGTTATAAGGGGATACGCGTGGAGACAAGGACCTGGTGAAGGAGGGGAATGTAGAAATATGGCTACTGGGATCATTAACGCTGTCACCACAAATGTTTCAGTATTCTCCTTGTATACCCATTGACTAAAACTCGCAAAGGGCACCACGAACAAAAGAGTTCATCAGTGGGAGAATGTATAGAACATTATTCATTGGAAAGATTGAGTGATTGACAACTAGTACAAATTGTGTTCGATTTTGTTGAATTCTATAACATCTAATGTTCAGTAGCCTAACGGGATCGGGTGGTCAGACTCGCTGACTTGGTTTATGCATATAATCGTGTCCCAATTGCGTGGTTCGATGTGCATGATATCAATCACTGGATTGTCTGGTCAGACTCGATTATTTACATACCGCCATCATATAGCTTGTTACAACAAACAAACAAATAAGCAACCTGTATATACACAAGATGAATTATTTAAATGAAGAAATGAAAATAATAATAATAATAAACATATGTTAGGTAAATTCAAAATTCAAATATTGAAATTCTGAACGAGATTTGCTATAGTAGTAGAAAAAACTATACACAAAGTTTATTGCCAATGTGGTGCAGATATTGTGTAGTTATTGGCAAGGAGAAATTGTTTGAATTTTTAAAAATAAATGTCTGAAAAATGTCCTAGAATTTTTACTTTGCTCCACTAAATTTACATAAGAAGTGTCATTCGATGACATACGGCACACGCCTACACAGACACGCGTCAACAGCAGGGGTAGAATAGGTCTTCAGCAACCCATGCGACTATGCTTGTCGTAAGAGGCGACTAACGGGATCGGGTGGTCAGGCTCGTCGACTTGGTTGATGCATGTCATCATATCCAAATTGCGTGGATCGATGTTCATGCTGTCAATCACTGGATTGTCTGGTCCAGACTCGATTATTTACAGACCGCCGTCATATAGCTGGAATATTGCTGAGTGCGACGTTAAACAACAAACAAATAAGCAAACATAGTTCAGTCACCCTTCGCTTGGTTGGCATGAGCTGGGCTAATATGTTTCTCCTGTGGGAGAAATACTCGGACCTTTAAATATAATAGGGCAGAATCCATGACATTTTAATGGAAATTCAACTGGTAATAGAGCGCAACAAATCCGCTTCACTAAATCCTTTGTAGATTTTAGAGGATTACATGTACAATAGGCGCTGAGTCGCGATCATAATCACCCAGGCTTGATTATTCAAAAATCGCCCTAAAACAGATGCCATATTGCTGACAACTTTTAAGAAAAAACAATATCTCCTCACTCGTCTTAACATCGCATTGTACCTATATATGCAAGCAAGAAGCAGCACCAAAATCGTATTTATGGAAAAAGTAATTAGGTTATGAAGAACGTGATATATTTGCAAAGAAGACCGCTAATAATAGCGTAAAGTACTTAATTTTCTGGAACAAAAAAAGTACATGAAGTAGAATGTCACGCAAGAAAAGATCTCAAAATTGAACACAAGTAAAAAGAAGGTATTATAAGCACACACGGATTTACAGATGCTCAGGGTTCTAGTTCAGAAGAATTAGGTATGATATTAATAAAACTTCGAGTTGTCAGTGTCTCCACATTTATCAAATATATTTACACGTGCTCTGTCACAATTAATCAGACAGACTCCTCCAGCTCTGAGCGTTGTCAGTGATACTAGGATCATGTATGAAGTAGGTTAGCAAACCAGGAACTTAAGATTTGATTTGAGAGTACTCTTGACTTAATAGCGCGTACGCTTGTTTCTTCAAGGCAACCGACACAATCGAGATTGCACTGCTCTGCACGAAAACATCATTGCAGTATCTTAATAAGCTTCCGATTATCTCTGCATCACGTATCTGGTTACCATGTTGTTCATCAAATACACCTTATCAAGCAATAACACAAGTCAAATTAACAAAATAACTGTTGTGGTACCGCGGAAAAAATTACCACAATAGAAGTCTGGATCAAATGAGATCAATTGATCAGGTCAAGTTGATCAATCAATCAAAGCTACTGGTTTTAATGAATATCGTTAACCTACCTTAGTATTCTTCCATTCCATTATGAGGTTATAATTAGGTAGGATATCCGTCCTTGCATTGATATGATCAAGAGCCATCTCAGCAGCCGTCAAAGCGCTTTCTCCCCCTCCCCATCCTCCCGTGAGCGGAAAAAGTCCAAGGATTGTCAGATTCCGAAGGCCATTGCTGTATTGAAGGCTCCCTAGTGTCTGGAGATCCATAGTCACAATGATGAAATAGAAATTGAGGAATGCTATAGTTTTATAATTGGCCATCATGATGTCAGACTCTGAGATGCGTCAAGTCTTACAAGGTTTGTTGCAGCAACCACACAATCTTGTTGTAGGATGAGGATAACGTGACACGGAGACTGGGGCTTTGTTCTCAACACGTATGAATAAGTGCGCGTCTGGCTTCTTAAGCGATGCTGTGCACACACTTCTATAACTGTAGCTCTCCTCGGGGCTTGAGGATCCTGGCACTATAGTTGATGAGTATCAGCCCGTAACCAGACAAATATCATCGATTGGCAAGGTAATTTTAGTGTAAACAAGGTCAGGCTATTTGTAACAAATCTCTCCAGTGTTACACCATTAGCGAGAATGTAATAAATTAATGGCTCATCAACGTTTTAACTGTGGAAGGAAGGCCCCGCCGCACAGGTTGCAGCCATCAGCTGGATTGGGAATTATGCAGCGCTAAAATTAGCAGGTCAGTAAACGTTGATTGGGCAGGTAAATAGTTTCTTGATCACCAGTTAAACGTCAGCCATCTGTTCCAGACTTCCTGTGGGCAGAAATAAAAGAAATGAACGGGTGTTATAATGACACTGGTGTTCATAGTACATAGTGTCAATAAAGAGGTCCTTTAGCAATGTTAAGTTGCTGCCTAGGGCAGTGTCTGGTTTAGGGATAACATCAACTACGTCACCGTAAATATAAACTGGTTATTCGCGAAAGCTTCTCATGTTAAGTATACAGCGCTAACCCATCATGGCCTGCACTGATATCGAGAGTAGTACACCGTTTTGATACACAAGCATTATATGTCATGAGAAGGTGAATGCATTCGTCTTTTAAGGTGAAATTGTGTGAGTCCGAATCCCTTTGATGCCATAAAAGCCCGTAATCCGGACCATTGCCGTTGTAATGTTTCTATACGCTAACAACACGTTGATACGGAAATGTGTTTGTAAGGTTTGTGTACCCGTAAGTGTTGCGACCGGACTAACGTGGATTCGCTGTTCTTGAAATCACGTCGGGTTAATTAATGCAAATCGTGTCTTCAGATTTCGACATTTAACACTTAACAAACCTGCACTCAAGGGATAACTATTTCAAATCATCATCGCTTAAGGATCTTTTTAATACTATTAGTCCTCATTTAATTATTGGCTATTTAAAAGAATTTGAACTGATTGCTAAATTCTGATGTACATGGTTGTTCCTTAAATTGGTAGTGTCTAATTGTTAACTGAGATTGTTATTGGCTGTGCCCTTGGCGGGGGTTAAAGTACTGTAAAATACCCCCTGAGAGGGTACAGTAAGTCCAAATCATTCGAAGTATGTTATTCCTATCAAAGTTTTAATCGTGGGATGCATGTTCTTTTGAATTTGGCTAAATTTCGTAATCGTTGCCAACAACTGAAGGGATGATGTAAATCCTGCAGGGGTCCTTGCAGGTAGCAAAAGTACTGTAAGTCCCCATGGTCCCTAGTAAGGTGATCTACCTTCAGTTACTAGCGATCTATAGCCCTTTTTAATGATGTATTGTACTGTCTAGCGATGAATTTATATGGTTCCATGCTAGTTTTTAATCATAATCTGTGATATGTCTAGTGATTTTAATGTCCCTTGTTGGCAGTTGTTTTTATAGTTTTCATGTATTTATTATGTATATTATGCCTTTGAAAGTCACGATATGGCCGAAATATTGCCGATGTGACTTAAAACTTTAACTCACTCGTATCGCTGGAGTATACATCAGAGATGTTTTGACATATGTACACAATGAGTTGTCGGAACTCATGCCCTTGATCTGTAAATCAAATCACGTTTGGCATTAATGCAATATTTCAGACTGAACCCGAGCCCTCCGGCCCTAAACCGTACCAGGTTTACGTGCGATGCGACAAACTGTGTGCGGCACTGTCTAATAAATACCACGTTGTGTCAAACATATGTAAATGTGTTGTACTGAAGTGCAAAAACGAACTTCCCCTGAAGCCATAATCTTATCTACGCTTGTCTAGTGCCGAGTCATAACTAAACGTTGTGAAGCAATATTGAATTGGTCAGCTATGGAAGAATACCTCTCCGCTGGGTTGTACCATGACTAAAAGAGGGAAGGCTCCATAAACAATAGTCCTGTCATGGCAAGTGCTCATTTACCTCTGGATATCGTGTAGCAATTTTGAACTGACTAACAATGCAAGACTATCTCTTCGCCAGGATGGACGTCCCGAAGACATCAATATTGTTGGAAGACCTTGTAGCAACGATGTGGAGAAATATAATGCATTTTAGAACAACTGCGAATCAACCATGTGAGAATACGGATGCCGAAGATTTGAGATCACTTTTCATCAACGATGTGAGAATACATCCTTCCAAAGATTTTAGAGCAACTGGAACAACTATGTGAGAATACTGATTTCAAGGATTTTAGATCGCCTTGGAGGCGAGAATAACTAATGCCAACGACTTTAGAACTGGAATCAACGATGTAAGAATACTGATGCCATCGATTTTATATCACCTTGAATCAACCATGTGAGAATAAATAATGCCAACGATTTTAGAACAACTGGAATCAACGACGTGAGAATATTGATGCCATCGATTTTAGATCACTTGAATCAACGATGTGAGAATAACTAATGGCAACGTTTTTAGAACGACCGAAATCAATGATATAAGAATACTAATGCCAACGATTTTAGAGCAGCTGGAACCAACAATTTAAGAAAACCTAAGGTCAACGACTGTAAAACAACTGGGATCAATGCTATTAGAATAACTAATTCCAATAGTCTTAGAACCAACGATGTGACAATAACTGGAATCATCCACGGGAGAAATATTGGTGTTAGCGATGTTAAAACAACTTGTACTCGCAACGTGACACGCAACCTTTAGAAGAACTACTATCAACGATGTCCTAAAAACAATTGATGTCATCGAAGTCATTGAGTTAGGTTCACGCTGCTTTGAACAATATTTCAGTTACATTTCGTCGTGTCAGCCTGGTGTGACAGGAAAGCCTGAAGTGATGCAGGTCGCAGACGCTATTTATTCGAAACTGACGAGCACGTCATAGGGCTGAGGAACTAGAATCATAAAATGGTCGAATCTTAGATTCGAAGCAACGATCATCTGATTATAGTATGCCAAAAGGACCAATTTCGGCACAACCATCGTGCTTTAAATGCAGACCACTGAGCTACACGTGCGTCTTAACGATGTTATAACAACTAGTATCAACGATGTGAGAATAACTGTGATCGGTATGTCAAGACATATAGTGAGTTGAGTGAGTGAGTTTTACGCCGCTTTTAGCAATATTCCAGCAATATCACGGCGGGGGACACCAGAAATGGGCTTCACACATTGTACCCATGTCGGGAATCGAACCTGGGTCTTCGGCGTGACGAGCGAACGCTTTAACCACTAGGCTACCCGACCGCCCCTCAAGACATATAGAAATAAGATGTTAGAAAACTAGTGTCAACGACATGAGGTTAATTTTTGTCTGTGATTTGAGTGAACATTTTAAAACAAAATTGTTGGTATGATGACAATGATTCTAATTAATAAATATTTTTAACGAGTTTTTACATAAAATTGCAGAAGTGAAACTAAAATGTAACAAATGTCAATGTTCTTATTTTCTCGTCGGTGAGATGCATTTAGGAGTGATCGATACACATAAGGAAGAGAATTTATGGATGTCAACTTCTAAATTTAGGAGAACACAACTTTTCATAGTTTATGCTTACTCCTTCATCATGTGCTTACTTCTTTCACCTGATGAAGGAGTAAGCATATACACCGAAACGCTGTGTTCCTCATAATGATGAAGTTGACATCCATAAATTCTCTTCCTTCTTATTTTCTTTCCACGTTACCGTCATGTAACCTGACTTCCATGCAGAATCATTAAAGTATGTAAATGCGAAACAGCAATAATAACAGGCCAACTTGGGAAGCCACAGTCGCCATGGAAATCAATGTCATTCAGTGATGATGAAAACCAGTCCCGCGGACAGTTTAAAGTGAAACTATCAAACCAGTAGGTGTAATATCTAATAGAGTAATAAAACGTGGACGCAACTGTCGTTTAACGCCTCAGGCACCTGTCACGTGGACGGATACATCATGTGTACGGCTTATTGAAAGCAAGCTCTTGTAAAGAATGTGGAAAGCACTACATGTGATATATAACGCTTCCTACTGTAAAACCTTCCTTTAATATCCACCGTGCATTTTAGATTGAGATTTTATAGGCGGTAAGGTTTAGGTATTCAGGAATAACAGCCTTGTATTATATTCGGTTCGTGACACTACTCGGCCATGAGAAAGATCAATGTCGAAACTGTTGGAATAGAATGGAACTATGTTGGAGGATATCATCTACATGCATGCCAATTTAGAATGAAGTGTTTCAGCCTTCACAGCCCCGGTCGCAGTTATAGCTCCCTTGGCTGTTAGCAAAAAATATATAAAATATCAGGGAGCCTCTTTCATTAATCGTAAGTAGGCGTTGATGAATAAAGTGGCTCAACTCCAAAACTGTTCTGATGTGGTAAACCATTGTTTTATTAACGTTAGGTCTTGATCAAATAGATACGCGGACAGATGTCAGAATATCTAATCTAGAATACTGAATAGATATCTCCCACGCGGGATGACAAAATGGTTTCAAGCAGTAATACGTAGCTATTTCTGACTGTTGGGCAGGGAACATGTGCACTCTTTTCTAGACGAATGAATGATCCAAATGGGGCTGAGCATTACGTACACAGATACAGCAGATATCCGATATGGCGTTAATATTGATTTGTCCAGTAGCATACATGTATATTGCTAAGTCGTGACCTCCATGCATTATCGCAAACGTACACATTGCATTTTTGTAAGGAAATAATATTTGTATTTTATGAGCTATGTCATTTTCACTGTGTATTGGCAAAGGAAACAGAGAAACTCAAAACCCATTTCACACAGACAGTATTCCTAATTATGCATTATTTAGTAAGCTGGTGGATAGCTATAGTATTCTACCAACAATGAAAGTTCGGCATGGCTGCTGATGTACACATTGGATAACTTGAAGTAGTTTTCGATGTGTGCCTGTCAAAAAGCGAACATGATAGAGTGACATTTAGCGAGCTATAACGTATGAAGGTACATGCAATTCAGAAAATAAAGTTACATACCTTCACCAGGTCTCTTTAAAGTAACATATCTACATCCACCATGATATACAAGATTATCTCCATATCATAGTGAGCAATCCGACACCATGAATGGAACAATCGCAACAACAATACTCCGATTGCAGTACAGGTTTCGACTTTAAATCTGTTCTTGCAGTTGTTGGTGACTTCTTATTTACAGCCTTGTCCCTTCCTTTAAAGCAACGGTAGATGAGTGACACTGCCTTCTTCTTAAAGTGATAACCTTGTCAATTGTTCAAAAGCATTCCAAATACGTGTGACTGGTCGAAACAGCGATAAAGAATAATTTTCCTTTGAGATGAAATCAAGGAACAGCTGCACTCTCATGCACGGTCAGGCAGGGGTTGAACTACAAACAACGTATATTTCCCCTTGTAACGTCCAGCAACGGCGATAATAAACGTGCAGTACCATTTGTGCGAATTCTGCCATCACGCTTAAAGCATTATCTTTCTGTAATTTCTCTCACTGGCCCACACTCCAGTGTGGATTCATCTGATTGGTTTACCGTAGATCGTTATGTTTCTCGATGCCCGAGCTCCATCCGTTGCTCCCTGTTTCCGCGATGATTTAGAGCAAGCTAACGTAATTCTCTCGAGATCTGAACCTTTCAGCCATTATATTCCCATACAGAAGTGAGATAGGTACAGGCAGCGCGGTCGCCGACAATTGATTGGTGTTAAC